TATTAGACAGTCTGAATCTAAACCCTAAGGTGAGTCTCCAGACTTTTCATATATATACACAGACATATCTGAGCTATTGTATACTAGAAACTCCCAATGCTCAGTCTTCGGGCTGTTGTCATCTCCCTCAGTTTCTATCAGGTTGACACCCTGGGCCTTCACGTCATATTAGTGGATCTTCTCATCCACTCGTGCCCTTCGATTGTAGATCTCAAACTGCAATGGAACGGAGCTTCCAATCTCAGCATTTATATTCCTCAGTTCCTCTTGCGGGGAAACTGGCCAAAATTAGCCAGATTGACCTTAGAAGGAGACGGACATGGATTTTATTCAAATGGTTTATCGGATGCTGAAAAATCGCTGATCATGCGCAACTTTCTTTCGCGCCATTCCACTCTCAAATGCCTATCGCTCCCCCACGACTTCATTTTTAAGGATTGCATTGGGGAAGATTCTCTCCCGAACTTGTAATCTGTCTGTCTATCTGTAAGTTCACTATCTCTTACCGCCATCTTGCCGGCGATGGTAGCAAGAAATATTCAACATCTATCAGCCCACGTCACGTCTACTTTAAGTCACCCTGTCGTAAAGTTGATGACGTCCCTTCAAACCTGTGTCATAATTCAATCATCTAGTTTGGATCTTCAGGCCTTTAAACAACTTCTGGATGTGCTACCAGTATCGGTGGAGCGAATAGACATACCGCCCTGGGGAAATCGGGATACTTATGAGGAGGTAACGTTAATATTATTATATTTGAAGCAATCAAATCTCAACTTATTTTCAAGGCTTGGCTAGATACTAAGAAAATCTGGGAGCCATCTCTTCATCGACTCAAACATCTGATTCATATAGGAAAAATGTTTACCAACGTAGATGTCGAAACAACGGAGGGCATGGATCTGATGCGTCAAGTCTGTACAATATTGCCTGGACTGTTATATGCGGAAGTAGCGGCAGATGGATGGATTATGATGCAGGGAATCAGAGAACGGACGGGGGAATACAAATTGCCCAGAGAAACTAAGATTGCTGCGTCGCGGTGGGGAGACACCTTCAACGATACTGGGTTAGTCAAAGACAAAAAAATAATTCTGCTATAACCAGAAGGATCAATCCATGGTCCATGTTATGACTCGTATAAATTTTTGTACATATTTAAATCGAATCGCATATTTATTAGTATCTTATTGTGACTGATTCTTTTTAATGAAATAAAATGCATTTATTATATACTGGAGACATCATTAATTTTCCTGACTCAAGAAAGGTTCAGGAAATGTTGAGGACCTGGTAAGATTTCATTTTATTCCTAGCAGCAGAAATGCAGAACAAACACAAGATTTCACAACTGTTACTTGATCCAGGAAATAATGTACTATAGTACAATTTCCTTGAATGAGAAATGCTAAGGATATTCTAGAATTCATCAATGTTTCCTAAGCTCAGATAAACTCAAGGAATAAAAAATATTGTTACCATTTCCCGCAGAAGTAAAAATTAGAGAAATAACAACTTATATTACTATTTCCTGCTGGAGGTCATTTCGAGAAAATTTTAAATGCCTTTATGATTTCCTGGCCCAGGAAACCTTCAAAATTTTTGATATTTCCTTTAAATTTGCTGAGTTAAGATATCGTCAGGATACTCAAGATTGGTTTAGGATTTCCTGGCCCCAAATTACATGAAAGAATTTATAGTTTATTTTTATTTTTTTCCTGTGTATTGACCAGGAAATTCTAAGAGATTGCATCATTTCTTATACAATCTGTAGGCAGGAAAGTCTAATGAAATTCCACACCTTCTCCGGATCTTCACCCAAGTAAAATTTAATGAATTACAGACTTTCCTAAAGGTTTCCTGGGCTAAGAACTTGTAAAGAAATTGAGTATTTTCTTCCTCAAGCCTGGAGCAAGAAATTGTCATGAAATGCATTGTTTCTCTAAGATTTTTTCACCCATAAAAGTCCCATAATGATCTCTTTTTTAACAGCATATCTGAGCTCAGGAAATCATGAGAAATTGTGGAATATCTTCAACATTTCTCAGTTGAGGAGATCTTAAGACAATATCTCATTTCTTGGATCAGGAAATTGTTACATATTATTATTTTACTGCAATATTTCTCATCTCAGGAAATGGTTAAAAAATTTACCAGGCACTTAAGATTTCTTGAATCTTTTTTAGCTCAGGAAATTTAACCATGTCTCCAGTGAATTAGTATTTTCAGAACATTTATCCATAATGACATTGACACAAGCGCAAGGGGACTGCTCTCAGGTGCTCAAACATGGGATCACTTATCAGAGTTAATACCAGCGAAAATTAAGAGCCTTAAAGCTGAGAAGTATTTCCACAATAGGAGAGCTCAGAGAGATGACGGCACACAGCGCTGAATCCAGCGTGACCGTGACCGCTGTGACGTGGTATATTGCTTCCGACTTCGGCAAATTCTCTTACATACAATGGCAAACTAGTTCTACCACCAGCTCTCGCAAAAAAATTGAGAGCAGCCAGCGATTATCTGCCTGCATTCATGCTCTTCGACGATGCTCATGCCTGTCCTTGGGTAGCTTTACTGGGATCCTCGGGCGGTGTCGATGTCGAATTCTACTACAGATTCTAGCCCTTCATTCAAGTTCATTCTCATGGATGGTCTTCTAAACATACTCAGAGTCCTCTACATTGAATTATTTTATCTATCAGAAACTCTTCCCTTGGATTTGACAAAATAACGCTTTCTAGGCGCACCACATCTTCCTGGTGAATAATAAACCATCTTGAAGCAACTAAAGCTTATTTGGATACTACTCGAGACAGGTATGAGCGACCATCTGATATTTACATCGGCCTAGGGAGATGATATTTATATTTTAAGTGTGCTATAAGCAGCCAAATGTCAGTTCAAACGCTATCGACGGCATCCGAGCCGTCAAGGCATTCGTCTCCACTCCTTGCCATTGCTCGAAAAGCATCCTCCGAGCCGTAACGTGTTAGGCGGATGGAGTGAGAATGTTTATTCTGTCATTCCTCTGTAGCGATTAATTGAACTCAGCGCGGAGGACCTACTTTATTACACGCTGCCTGAATGGTTCAGGGTTAATCAGCCTGCTCATGTGCTCATTGGAATATCGCATGATTTCGAGTAAGTGAATCTACGTTGGCTCCATGATTTAAGATGTATAGGGCTCGCCGATGTGCATTTAAATCTACGGCCTTTTACTAAATCACAGAACTCCAATACCGATGGAAACGCACTTAACTTAATCACAATTGCCAGGTCGTCCTTCCAATAATCACAGCGCCTCCGATCCCACTAAGCACTCCCAACCTCGTCTTCATCGATATCATCACTCTGCGTAACCTCTACGCCCATTTCGCCTCGAGAGGGCAGCGCCTCAGGTGGCTTTCAGGACGTCTGTAGTGGCTCTGCACGGCTTATCCTTCAAGGTACTCCCTATATCCGCTACATCGGTATGAAACAAATTATGTACGTTTGCATGCATATGGGACGATTGAAACGGCACCTTGCCTCTACATATTAACGTCGGACTGAATGCACGACGGCGTCGTTCATTGAGCTAGGTTCCTGTGCACAGTGCGCCACGAGCTACATATATCGTGAGGATGGTTCGTGGCTCCGCTACGAACGCAATGTTAAACTGGATACTGGATGAAAATTCAATGGAAAGGGGCTCCCTGCACGCTGCAACAAGATCGGGTTGGGTAGGAGTTACTAGTATTTTATTATTACTATATTTTACAGGGGCATACGACCGAAGTCATTGCACGGCTCCGGAACGTACATGTCGAAGGCGGTGCTGCCAGGGGCCGCCTGAACCATGATATTGACAACGGATACGAATACGGAAGCCAGTGAGGCAATCATTAATCCATGCGGATTTTCATACGCGTGTTATTTCTGCTTCACTTTGGCTCGTCATTCCTTCTTGTTCTTATTTTTTAGTCATACGAAACTGCTTAATAATGACTTTTAGAGCAGCTTGATTGATCTTGATTCTCGGGTATCTTTCTATCCATGTCTCCGGAGGCCGAGGATAATTTAAACATACTTTCGGGAGAAGAGAATTCAAAGTAAAGTTTAATTAGCTGTACAAAAGGCACCGGATCTCTATATCAGCACTCAGTAATGATGGCGCCCCAGACTGTTGACAGTCAAGGGTCCGGACGAGTCGTAGGTTCACCGTATTTATGGAATTTATAATTACCCAAGGTTTTTTTCTCCGTTTATTCCATCTCAATATATCTCAGGAGCATCATACCATACCAACCCTCCGCACCTCCAAAAAGGCACGACACGCATGCTTTCCAGGAGAACCTTCAAGGCTGCCCGCTCTAGTTCATCTTGGCAAGCGTCGTAGGCGTCAAGTGGACTCATGACTCACCGGTGACCATTGGTGAATATGAGTTGCCAGTGATACGTCAATTTCAAAGATGAACCTGCTTAATTGACGGCATGCCATCGATCCCGTATGTAGTAGGAGACCCATTGAAATTTCAAATGCTTAATCATAAATCTTCAGCCACAGCCGTCCCGGTCAAATTATCAATTCATTATCAAGGAGTAACCATGGATGAACTTGGGGTCGGCTCATCTTTCTGGCCAGTGACCAATCAAATGGATATGGATATATATATGTGGCACTGTCGACTCCTGAATATGATATATGAATTATTATGGAGAAGTGAGAGACTTTGAGAGTGTGATTTCCTACGTATAACATATCGTTCTGGACTCTGGACTCACAGGGCCCTGAGTATGACATATGAATCTATTATAGCATAAGTATGTGGGAGTACGGGTTAATTCTAGTAGGGCCATTGGCAGTCGGCTATCCAGGAAATAGGATTGACGTGAAGCGCGCCGAATAACCATAAAGGGAGTCATTAAAGCTGTAACGTCGCGGGAAACGTTCCACGCAATATCATAGAATAGCAATAGGATTTCTCCACGAGGGTGTCTGTCATTCATAAAAGTAGGACCCCTTAGCTCAGTGGTAGAGTGTGTGATTCCAGTTTGGAACCTCCACAAAGTCGTCCGTTCAATCCGGGCAGGGGTCATATCTTTTTGTCGGTTTGCTGTGGTCGCCCGAGGAGTTGCCTGGAGGGACGGAAGAGGTGGAGTATGCGCCTGCTGTACCTAGGCGCGTACTTCGTTGCCTGTACGCGGAGACGCCTGCCGAACTAGCAATACGAGCCTGAATACAGGTTCGGCAGAATATGGTATCGCATATATCTATGATTGGCGAATCTGCCTTGCTAGTTGCCTCGTTGCTTTTAACGCTATTACTAGCCCAGTAGATTCATACATACTCTTTTAAGTAAGCTCTAATCTTAAAGTCTGTTCTTCATCTTCATCGGTTCAGATTCACCATTTCAGCGTTTCAACCTTTAAGTTCTCCACGAGGAACTTGAATTCTCGGAATCTCGAAGTATTGAAGCCAAAATCGATGGTCGCCCGAGTAAATAGAAAATCCCGATTTCAATTACCTAAAGAGCTCTGCCCCTGGAGACTGAACAATGGTGTGAGTAGAGAAGTATTAGACATTAGAGTAAGAACTAGAAGAGAGACCGAGCACGAGACATGAAGAAATATGTGCGGCTGAAGGCAAGCATATAGTATACTTGCGTGCCGTTAGGAAACCTGACAGCTTCAAGGGCAGATTTCGACGGACGCCAAGAGCCCTGCGGGGTACTACCACGTCTGATTAGCGAATTTAAGCAGTTCAGATTTATTCAATGATGGGCCGAGGAACAGTACCCCCTGCATCTCGAAGCCAGATCAGAGGGTCAATGGCCGACGGGAGTCTGGGCAAACCAAAAATCCCGATTTCAATTACTCAAAGGAGCGAACCCGTATCCCCTGGATACTGGAGTGCGTTCATATGTATTATCAAAACAGACGCGAGAGACGAGAAAACGTGTGTGGCTGAGGGCCCAGGGCGTGTAGTAAATTGGGTGAGGAGACTTGAAATGGAAGATCCAAGGAGACTAGCGTGAGTGGCATGCATTGGAATTGCTAGGTAGTGACACGTTTCTCTTTCCTTTATCCTCAATTAGCTTCTTTATTTAGCTCTGTAGGATGATAACTCATTGAATTGCAACTCAACAGCTCGTATAACAGTTTTAAGATTCGGACCAAGAGTTTGACATACTAGCCTCATGATCAGTGTGTCTCATTGATGATGGCCTGCTGCGGCAGTGGCAGGCTAAGGTAATACTCCTCTGCCCTGGACTTGTAAAACGATGACTCATTGAATTGCAACTCGCAACAGCTCATATAGCGGTTTTAGGATGCGGACCAAGAGCTTGACATACTAACCTTATGGTCAGTGTGTTTCATTGATGATGGTCTGCCGCGGCAGCAGTAGGCTAAGGTAACACTCCCTGGACTTGCATCTCTGTAACTCTTTGGCCAATCAGACGCCTGCGCTAAGGCTATTGTATACGATCCTGATGCTGGTGGTCGTTGACAGGGTACAGCGTATATTGCCTGTCAGTGTCAATGATGCGGAGCCGACGAGGGTCAGGTTCGTTAATGGTCATGAATTTCGATTTTTAGAGCCTAGTAAACGTCGCAAAATCTAAACGGCCTAGCAGGAATTCAAAAGGACGCCTTGACAGGCATCGTCAGATTGCGAAAAAATAAAATAGATATCTATTTAATAGGGAATATTATTAATTTTAATGTATTGAGGAGAAAATACCTCCGTAGTAGCATGAACTACCAGGGAATACCAGGGAAATACCAAGCTAACTTGAAAGAGCAGAGAAACGTGGAACCAGCCAGTGGACTGGGGAGCCCGCTACTTGGGAGCGACTGATGATGATTGATACATACTGCTGGGTAACAATGGGTAACTGTCGCGTTATTGGCGGTTGTTGGATATTTGATCAGCGTATGTTCCTCCCTTGCCACTTTCATAAATCCCTGTAAAGGTAAATGGGTTATTTCTTACGTCACCAGGTATAAAATAAATATGCAGTAGGAATATCTTTCTTGAAGGAGGAAAGAAAACGCCAGGAACCAGCCAGTGGAACCCGCTACTTGAGTACATCATCATCTTTGATACCGAAGTACTGCTGGGTAGCTCACCGAGTGAGTCTACTTATAGATGTTTTGCAGTGCAGGATTTTTGATCAGCGGTTTCCTTAGAGTGCCTGCAGAGTCGCCGGTGTAACCAAATAAAGCAGGAGTTTCTAAATTTCAGGCTCGAAAGAACAGTGTGGTAGTGAGCTATTGAGATCTAGACTCGAAAAATAGGGGTAATAAATTACATTCTCCATCGAGTGAATAATATCGTTCTCACCATCATAGCAATACGACTTCCTATTTCATTTCTCGACTCCCATTCAAGCTCATGCATCGCCCATGGCCATGGACGTCGGACCGCATGCCATTCCTCATGCCTCCGATCCGAAAGCGACACATGAAGTTAATCCCCGTTAAACCCGTCGCAATGGAAGGCATGCGGAGGGAAATTTACGTAACATAAATGGGTATTGTGACTGTGTTATTCTGTTCTCTATTATCCAGAGGAAGGGAAGGATGGTCATGGCTGCCCACCGCATAGCTCGGCAACCTAGAGCCTAGAGTTGATCGACCTGGGTGACGTAATCAATCGCGATCGCAAGCGGGGACCATCCGCGGGGAAGCTCTTCGCCTGGGATGAACGGGGCGAATTGAATTAAGAACCTGCAGACTGCTTTGTAGTCAAGGTGGAATTTGGGTGGCGTTTAGGTTAACGTTATGTTTTGAAATGTTGGTATATGGCGGATATAGCAGCTTTCATTGGGTTAGGGCGGATTAAACCCCATGGTGGTGTGGCGTTGTTTGTATGGACACGTCGTCGCCTATTGTGGATCCGGCCGACGTCGCGAGTGTTCCGAGTCGGCCAGCGCTACGGCGACTAAGTGTGTTCGCCGGTCGTCATCTGACGGGGCGGGGACGACGGGGGAGTCCATTACAGGCTAGAGACCTCGGACACGACACGGACGTATATTTCGCCCGCACTATAAAAGCGGGCAGAGCGCGTAGGCGCGGGAGTCCGGCGAACACCGACCCCCTCTCAAACTCCGCACATATGCGTAGGACTCAGTAATCGGTTCGCCTTCCCTCCGCCAACGCTATTTGAGGATGGCCAGTGCTCTATCTGCGCCCTCCCCCGCCTCACATCGTGCTATCAGGTCTAGTGGCAAGCCCCATTCATGTGCTGAGTGCAGTCTGTCTTCCTCTTCGCTGTTCTAGACGTCCGAGAGCTCACATCTATCCGTCCAGGACGTCTCAAGCTTCGCTGCGACCGTGTTTTTCCCTGCGAGAGCTGTAGAAAACGCAACGTAGCCGCACTATGTCCCAACGGTGAGCACACCCACCCCATCCCGCTCAGTCCCCAGCTGAACGATCGCAGGGAGCCTCCCGCCCCGCCCGAGGTGAGCCAGCACGCCACACGTCGACCCGTCTCATTAAGGTCATCAGATTACTCGCAGAAGACGCCGTGAAACTCAGCAAGTCCATCGCCGAACTCACTAACCGCTGCAGACAGCTCGAAGACGCCCTCCGCATCCTCCAGGCCAAACACCACAACGAGCCCCACCCCCTCCTCGACAATACTGTGCTCGCACTGCCACGGGTCGATGCTCTCAACCCGCACAACAACAACAACAACAACAATGGGTCCCACGACGAAGAAGAGGACGAGCTCGACGCCGTGCAAGACTCGCTAGGCACGCTCAGGATCGACGGGATGGGCAACTCGAATTTCCTCGGTCGCACCGCAGGCATGCACGTACGTACGCTCCGATTCCCATCTTCCCCATCTCACATCCCCGCAGATGCTCCTCCAGGTAAATCCCATCATCCGGCTAAACCCTTTGAAACCTAATCCCTAATCCTAACCACACCGCAGTCAGATGATCCGGAGATCACAGATATTCTCCCGCCCGAAATCCACGACCTCGCGTCGGATTCCCTCCCCACGCGCGTCATCTTCTCCCAGCTGTCCCACCGCAAACACGCCGTCATGGACCACATGCGCAAGTACCTCCCCCCCTCCGAAAAAGCGTGGTCCCTCTGCGAAATATATTTCGAGCATGCGGGCTGGTTGTGCGTCAATAATCCCTCCCGCATTATTTATTTATTTATTTATTATTTCCCGCATTTAGAGTCCACCCCGTCGCACGCGACCACTTCATCGCCGAGATCTTCGGCCCCATCTACAACACCAAATCCTCCTCAAACAACTCGCACTCCTCCCTCGATGACTCCCTCGTCCCGCCGCGCAAACCAGATTCACACGAACTAGCCCTCCTGTTCATGATCTTCTCCCTCGCGACTCTGCTAGACCTCACCCTACCCCCCAATAACGTCCAAGCAGAATTCTATCACCAGCTAGCCCGCGCCGGCTTGAGCTGTGAGCCGATTTTGGTCGAACCGACGGTCCCTGCTATACAGACGCTGGTGCGTGGCGCGCGAGAACTGATTTTCTGACGTTGATTGTTTGATTGTGCCACAGATATTAATGTCGTTCTATCATTGGCTGGGCAACAGGAAACACAGCGAGCAGATTTCGTGGGGGATTATGGGTCTGACGGTTAATCTTTCGCAAAATGTGCGTGGATTTCCATTTCCCGCTTTATTTATAATTTATTTGCAATTTTTAGGTCGGATTACGTGCGTGTTTTATTTATTTGACCAATTATGCGCGTACTTGATTAATAATTTGCGGATGACAGACCGAGATAGTGCAGCCTGGCGCCTCCTAGACTCAAAGATCATCGAACGTCAAAGACTGTTATTCTGGGAATTGTACGCGCTGGAATTAACAGAGGCAAGTATCTAAACACCCCCTAAACGATTAAAAATAACACTCCCGTCCTTAGGCCCTAAACTTCGGTCGTCCCCCGTCCCTCTCCCTCTCCACAATCGACTGCAAAATGCCTGCCGACAGCACACAATTCGCCTTCTCCAACAGCGAGCTGAACCCGCCATTCCACTCCGTCAAATACCGCTTCTTCTCCGTGTACCTCGCGCCGGTCATCGATGCGATATTGGGAGCGAAGAC